AATATGTTGAGGGAAGTTTTCCAAAATCGACTAATAAGTCTCAATGCTGAACATGAATTTCCACCGAGGTCATGTGATATTACGCCGTGTGATTTCTTTTTGTGGCCTTACCTTAAAAACACTATTTTTGAACTGCCTATTCCTGATTTAAACCATCTGCAGGCTCGACTTATAGACAAGATTCGTGAAATTAACAATACCCCGAGCATCTTAGAAAATGTCTTTAATTCTTTGAGGAACAGGTGTGAAAAGTGCTTGGAACAAGGAGGGGGACACTTTCAGCAGCTGCTTTAATTTATTGTTATAACAAGGAGGGGGACACTTTCCGCAGCTCCTTTAATTGTTTGTTATTGTTATCACGATTATTCTTTAAAATAAAGTTATATAGTCATTAACGTTATTGAAACTGACAGCTGCTATACAGCTCGTTGAGAAATGAGGTTAAGTTGGTCGCTATAAGCTATTCCCTACGTCCAATGTGTCAGAGACAACTTCGACCACGTTTTTATTTGAACGCTCGTTATATTGGAACCTATGCATTTTGGATGAATATTGAAGAGGGAAAAAAGGTTTAGAATTGAATTTTGTACAATATACTGTAAGTTAAAAATGTTTTTATTACCGATGTTGCAAAATAGCAATATTTGTTGAAAAAAGGCAAAATAATCAAGTTTTTTGGATATTTTTTAAAAATATTTTAATTGCTCGGAGGACATTCTAATTTTGGTAAAAAAAGCTATAGAGTATAATAAAACAACACACCAAATTTCATTAAAATCGGTTCGACAGTTTTCCCAAACAAAAAAATTTTCGAATTTTCAAAATGTTGCACAGCCTCAAATAAAGATCTAGATATTTTTTCACAGAGAAAAGACCGCTCAACCTTTCAAATGGTTTTTGAAAAATTGAAATCGGTTGATTAGGACGGCCACAGTCAAAACTGTGTTTTTTTTTAATTTTTAAAGAATTAGATTATATTTATCAATTCGCAATTTAGTTTTTTTCAAAAATTATAATTTTAAAGTAATCGGAAAGACGCTTTACTGTGGTCGTCCTAATCAACGGATTTCAATCCAGATTAGGGTGGCCCAAAAAAAAACTAAAATTTTTTTTTTCGTGTTGTGATATGTTAGTTTATCATGTTTTAAGAGCCCCCTCAAAAAATCAGCTCAAAAATTTTTTTTTAGAGGTCGCTCAAGATTTTTAAAAATTTCCAAAATCGTCAAAAATTGATTTTTTTTTAAATTCTTTGTCTGGTTATTTTTCATTTTCTAGGTTGAAAAAAATCTCGATTCTGAAAATTTCAAATCGATATTTTAATTTCTAAAGGTCACTCATAATTATTTTAACTTTAAAAGTAGTGTACCTAAAATGTTTTCGAGCGACCTCTAAAAATAAATATCAACGAACTAATAATTTTTTTTATTGAATTTGATGAACAAAAGAATAGAAATAAATCACGAGACACTTAAAAAATTTCTCGAGGCAAAATTTACTACCGCACTGTGAGTATCAAATATTTATAATTTTTTAATTTTTTAAAATTTAAGTGTCTCGTGATTTATTTCTATTCTTTTGTTCATCAAATTCAATAAAAAAATTATTAGTTCGTTGATATTATTTTTAGAGGTCGCTCGAAAATAGGTACACTACCTACTTTGAAAGTTAAAATAATTATGAGTGACCTTTAGAAATTAAAATATCAATTTGAAATTTTCAGAATCGAGATTTTTTCAACCTAGAAAATGATAAAATAACGAGAAAAAAAAATAAAAACAAAAATTCATTTTTTGATGAATTTGGAAAATTTCAAAAATCTTGAGCGACCTCTAAACAAATTTTTTGGAGCTAATTTGTCGAGAGAGCTCTTAAAACATGAAAAACTAACATATTTTCACAGGAGACACGAAAAAAAAATATAAGTATTCATTTTTTTTTGGGCCATCCTAATCTAGATGGTTTATGCAGATCGTGTTCATTTGAAATGTAGATTCACTGGTATAATTTATGCTACTCCATTCAAAAACACCCTGTATAAGTAAAAAATTAGCTTGCCCCCTCTTACATTGAATAATTCCAAATAAAATTCCAAATATTATTCCGATAGGTCGTCTAGATTTTCGTGGGCAGCAGAAAACGTTAAAAAACAAAAAAATGTCTACTAATAATTTTTTTAAGTTCAAACTAATTCGACTGGAGTATTAGAATTTGGACAAATTTTTGTTCCGGTTTTGGCTTATAAGGACAAATGACGATCCTATTTTTATTTTTTTCGTCTATTTTATGGACCGATAAAGTGATTTTTACCAGAGACGGCATCACAAATTTGCGAAATTTCATTCATCATTATTCATCAGACAACCCATACGTTAAAAGAAGCAAAATATTTATAACACACCCTGTATAAAACAAATAAGAAACGACATTACCTTTGTCTTTTTTCTCCTCCGTCTCCCTGGGTGCGAAGTTGTCCGGGTTGTACCTCATGTTGAAGTAGTCGGCGTTGACGTAGTTGTCCTTCAGGTTGCCGAAGAAGAACGGGTTGGTTTCGGCCTCCTCGCATGCCCCCCTCAGGCCGGGTTCCTCGAGGAAGATGGCCGGGGGCGGGGGCAGGTTCGGGCTGACGCCGACGGCTGGCGGCAGCGGCAGCGGCGGCGGCGGGACGACGCGCAGGTTCTGCTGGGAGGCGGACATTTCCTCCACGGGTTTGGCGTTGAGGCTCTCCAGGCTCCTGGAAATTTCGCTGGATAAATAAAAAATCATGTTGCGGGAGTCTGGCAGGTTGGTGGGCGGCGGGCGAGCTTGAATGAAATTTTTACCAAGACGTTTGTTGTGACAGGTGAGCTCACTCGTCGAAATTCCCAAGGTGGTTTGAGATCGAGGTGAGCTCGCTCACTGAAATTTTGGAGGGACGGCAAATCTTGCTAGAACCTACTTATTTGTGGCACAGTTTTAGTTGTTTTTATTTACATATTTGGGTATTGTGAAAAAAAGTTGCCTAACCGAAAATGTCACATTGAAAAAAGCAGACAGACAAAAACGACACATCACTATATATCACGCACTTCATGTTGTTGAGGTTTCGAGAATCAGTCTGTTTTCGTTTTCAGAACTGATAAGGACGTTTTGTTTTGATTCATTTTTGACAGTTTACATTTGTTTGTTTATCTGTTTCTATAGCTAGAGACAGCATCATAATAAATATTCTATTATTACTTATTTCTTCTTTTAGTATTTGTAGCCAACATTAAATTTTTACAAGCTAATAAAAGTGAAGTCGGTTATTCTAGACAAAAACAGCATGTGAAACAAACATAACTAATTCAACTAATGAAGGAAATTATACGGAATTCATACATTAAAAATAGTAGAATCTATTGGAAAAATTAGTAATTTCTAATACCAATGGTTGTGTTTTGACGTGGTTAGGCTATTCATTAAATGTGTCACATAAAATATTGAATGTTATCAGAAATTAATTAGAAAATGAAAACAATTGAAAGATAAAACTAACTTACTTAAGTATAGAACGTATAAGGAAATGACTAACTACTACTATAAGTAACAATATAAAAGACAGGAAACAAAGAGACGTAGGTGAGTTTTCTTTTCTTTAAAATTGCCGTAAAAATAAGCTCTATTTAATGCAAAAAGAGCGAATTCCCGAGCGGCATTTTCCTGACCCTGGGACAATTTATAACGATGTTTAACTTTAAATAATTTTTAGTATCAATGATTTAATGGTATGTGTCAAATAAAACATTGAATGTTACCAAAAATTAATTAAAAAATGAAAACAATTGAAAGATAAAACTAACTTAAGTATAGGAGGTATAAGGGAACTACTAAGTTTCTGTATAAAACTGCGTTCAATAATGAATTTTATCAAAAAGATTTGTAAGTAGCAATGGGGTCATCATTATCACCAATTTTAAGTAATATTTTTATAGACACTGAAGAAAATAATAATAATAATATAATATCTCTACTCCTCATTCTAATTACGAGAATTAGCCCATAAGTCGGAGACTTGTGCGGGAGAGGAAGCGGCATATTATTAGGTAGGCCGCATTTGCGCCCAGGAACGACTTATGTTGGTAGGCCCTAACCACCATTCAGTGCAGGAATGAGGGAAACCTGGAAAACCTCATTAATTAGGGGAGTGGTCAAATGCCAACAACGGGTGTCAATCTCTCACATTGACCCAAGCCAACATTCTTCCACCCTACCATACCTGCACAGAGGGCGCCAATTCTCCGTACAAGCATAGCTAATCTACGGTCTACCGGCCGCGGGAATCGAACCCGGGCAGAAATTTGCACACGATTAAAGGACTGACGCCTTAAACCCTGCGGCTATCGACCAACTCAAACCACGACCAAATATCGACCAAATTCAAATAAAAATTAAAAATCTCATCATATGATTTGATCAGTTGAACAGTTCTTATAAGAGACCCACCTATTACAAATTTCTGTAAATTAGAGTACGCTATTTCGTTTCTGTTATCAAATAAATGACTTTTGTTTGTGAAATTTTATTCCCAGTTGCCAAAATACCCAATCGAACAAAGGAAAAACAGCAAACTCACCTCTGTATGTTCCTGTACTTGTCGAATCCAATCAGGGGCATCGGATTGGGCATCAGTACCACGTTGAGTTCGCTCTTGTACGGCTTCTCCGGAGTCATGGGTACGTGTTGGGAATTGTCAGGCACCGGATTGTCCAAGATGGGGTTCTGCAGGTACGAAAATTCCTCGCTTTGCACCTCCAAGATGAAGCGTTTGGCGTCGTCCTGCTGCGCCGCATTGGCGTCGTTCTCTTGGACATTCTGATTGATGCCCCTCTGCAAATTTGAGAGCTTCAGTATCTCCTGTTAAAACGTTGTTAGATGTTCAGTCAACACCACAGAAAAAAAAATTGTTAGTGCATTCATACAAGGTGTAACTTGCGGGTCGCGTTTAGAAGGACAAACACGATTCAAGTTCTATTACTTCTAAAAACAGGTCCCACTTAAAGTTACGTCCAACCTTTAAAAAAAAATTGCCTACGCACCTGCGAAATCGACTCTATGTCGTTGAGCAGTTCCTCCAGGTTTCCACCATTGGAAAACGTGCTCTGACTCTGACTGGGAGTGTTGCTGAAGACCAGAGCGTTATTGCTGAAGTTCTGGTTGTCGATCTTCACTATAAGATCCGTGGAGGCCTTCTCCATGGACCTTGTCTCCGGCTGGGGCATGGTGGACTTGGGGACCAGCACCATGTTCTGGTAGAAATTGTTGGCGTTCGTCTGCACTATTTTCTGGCTCAGGAACGTGTCGCAGGTCGACTGGAATTGCTGGAAGTTGGTCCCCAAGTCGTTGGGGCGCTGGACCAGGGGGTTGCCGAGATAGGGCGCTCCGTCCAGCGCGTCGTCGCGCACCTGGTTGAACTGGTTCTCGTCGAAGCTCTTCGACGTCTGGATCGAGGAGAAGAAATTCGGCGGGGCCCTGTCCTGGACGGGCAGCGTTTGCGATTTGCCCATCCCCTTGAACTCCGGGTAGCTCTGGTCCGGCTTGATCACGTCCTTGTCGTAGTTCCAGCTCTCCTTGGGCAACGACGCCCTGTTGGAGTTTTGCTCGGAATTCTCTGCGGAAGTCTCCTCCGTAACCACCGACAGGTGGTCGAACTGGTCCTTTATGTTTCTCAAGTTGGTCCTCTGTACGTTCTTGATGTTCTGCGTGGTCTCCACTTCCTCGCTCTCCTCGCCGCAGGAGGAGCAGCTCTCCTGAAAGAAAAACGTTCGAGCTTAGACACGATTTAAACGTTGGGAATAGAAAACGTTGTGTCAAACGTTAACTTTGAACTTTTGAACGTTTAAACGCAAAAGTGGCAGACTTCCAAAGGAGAAAACGTTGGATGATTAGACATTAAAATAATAATTTAAACGTTTAACCTAAGGAACGTTGTATACGTGCAAATATCCGTTTGAACGTTTAAGCATAAGAGCAATTTCTTGAAAAATAAACGTCTACTGTTAAACATAAATGAAATAGTTAAAACAAAATATTTAAACGTTTGTAAAAACATGCCTTAGTTTAATTTTGTTTTCAGAGATTTCATAATTTACCATTTTTTTACTGAACATATAAAATACATTAGTCGTCGATTAAAATGTATTATTAGTAGTATCAACCTGCAACATAACAACTAAATCTAAACGTCTATTTAATAACGTTTAAATATTATTTAAACGTTTGAATCAAGAATACAATTTTTTATTCTGATATTATTTGGGTATTTCGGAGTTTTTAAGAAAACGTTTTTTAAACGTTAAACATTTAAACGCAAGAGTAGCAACTTTGGAAGTAAGAAACGTTTTTTTTTAACTTTCAAGTATTAAAAATATTGATTTGAACGTTCAAACGATATTTGATCTTAGTAAACGCTGACTATTAAACGTAAATGTAAACAAACGTTGTCATTTGGGTACTTTTTGAGATTAGAAACGTTTCGCGACGGGAAGAAAGTCTCTCACCTCCTCGCTGGAGCTGCTGGTGCACGTCGTCGACGACGAGGAGTAGAAGTCCAGCTTCTTGTCCTTGATGAGCCTCTCCAGCTTGTCGTATTCGTCGCGCAGGTACCACAGCCCCTTCTTGAGCATCTCGTTCTCCCTCTTCAGCTTCTTGATGTCGGACTGCCCTAGAAAATAGTTGACACTGTCGTTGGCCAAACGGTACAGGTACACCAGCCTGAGGATGTCCCTGGACTCCACCATCTCGCTACTAAGTACCCCGGCGCGTCTTTTCGCGGATACCACAAGACTGAGTCGGTTCTAGAGCATTGTTTATTGATCCGGACGTGTTGATCCGATCTAAATGGGGATCGGTGTTATTGTTTTGACAAGGGGAAATGGACACGGAACGCGTTATTTTGAAAATTTGATGGCCTTGACATAATTTCGAGTCGAGGAAGTGTGGGTGGTTTGATAAAAATACTGTCGTGACTGAAGTAAGCATGTATTGTTTCTTGTTTGTTAAGTTTTCTTTTTTAGATACATTTTCCTCTTTATACAGGGTGGTTTATTTTGATTTGAACGTGTTGGAGAGAGGTTCCACCTGGTATTGTGCGACTAGAAAAGAGGTATATGATTCACGGAGTAAATGAAGTTTGTCCTCGTGTTTATTTATATATTTCGCAGGCAAAAATAGTTTGTGGCCGTTTCGCTATATATTTATCGTTTTATGTGAAACAATGAAATAATAAATTTCTGTGCCGCTACTAAAAATATGAGTCGTGGTACTAAACTTCGTTTTGGGGTAGGGACGAGGAGGTATTTTTTTATACACTATTAGACCAGGGAGGATCTGTTTTGAGGTGGATGTGAGAGGGGGCAAGCAAATTTTTTCTGGATTACCTACAACACATAATAAAAGTGTGGATCGCTAGATCTGGGCGAGGTCCGGAACATTTTCAAAGTTGCAAAAATGTTTAAAAAATACCTATTTTATCTGAGTTTTTACGTATATCTTGGAACCTATACGTTTTGGAAGAATATTGAAGAGGAAAAAAGTTTTAGAATTGAATTTTGCACAATATACTGTACTTAAGTTAAAAATGTTTAAATTTATTACCGATGATGTGTAAAATAGCAATAATTCATGAAAAAAGGCAAAATAATCAAGTTTTTTTGGATAATTTTTTTAAAATATTTTAATTGCTCCAAGGACATTCTAATTTTGGTAAAAAAAACTTATATAGAGTATTATAATAAAACAACACACCAAATATCATTAAAATCGGTTCGATAGTTTTCGCAAAATATTTTTTTTTTAATTTTGTAAAAAAAATTTCAAAATTTCAAAATATTGCACAGCCTCAAATAAAGCATCTTATCTAGATTTGAAAAAATGAATTTTTTTTTTACATAGAAAAGATCGCTCAACCTTTCAAATGGTTTTTGAAAAATTGAAATCGGTTACAATTTATTTTTTTTTTTAAATTATAATTTTAAGGTACTATTTTTTCTTAATTTTATCTGTATTTAACAAAAAAATTTATTTCCCAATAGAACAATTTTTTTTAATTTGTTTAAACAAAAATTATTTAAATAATTGTAATAATTATAGCTAAATACATTCATATTCAGTGTTGAAATACATATATACGTAAACAAATTTTTTTCATTGAAAAAATGCAATAGCATAGGGTAAAATGTACAGTATATTTAATGCATAAATAATAAACTGTTTATAACAAAATATGTGCAAATTAGACAGTTGGCAGTGGGATATTTGAATTTCTTGGCTCACGAGACATCTGATTAAAAAAAAGTTCGAAATTGGTCCATTAGAAGCCGAGATAATGCAATTTCGTACCTTCGCATTTTGAACCTCCGAATTCAGTCTCGGAGCGAAAGCCCCCTCCCTTTTCTGCTGATTTATCTATGTTGNTTTGTTTAAACAAAAATTATTTAAATAATTGTAATAATTATAGCTAAATACATTCATATTCAGTGTTGAAATACATATATACGTAAACAAATTTTTTTCATTGAAAAAATGCAGTTGTATAGGGTAAAATATACAGTATATTTAATGCATAAATAATAAACGTTGTGTATAACAAAATATGTGTAAACTAGACAATTGGCAGTACGATATTCGAATTCCTTGCCCCGCGAGACATCGGATTAAAAAAAAGATCGAAATTGGTCCATTAGAAGTCGAGATGATGCAATTTGTTTCGTACCTTCGCATTTTGAACCTCCGAATTCAGTCTCGGAGCGAAAGCCCCCTCCCTTTTCTGCTGATTTATCTATGTTGCCGATAACTTATGGATATGAACATTTTTTTTTGCTTAGAACTCGGAAAAACGAAGCCACTGGATCAAAGATTATTGTTAAATTGTTTATACGGTAAATGCCGATAAACTTCGACCGCTTATATCTCGAGAACCAATAAACGGAATTTTACTTTTTTTTTAAAGAAGCGTCTTTCCCAGTACTTTAAAATTATAATTTTTGAAATTGGTTAAAAATAAAAAAAGAGAAGAAAAACTTTAAAAATTTACTGTAGCCGTCCTAATCAACCGATTTCAATTTTTCAAAAACCATTTGAAAGGTTGAGCGGTTTTTTCTATTACGTGAATACGTGGAAAAAATTTCAAGTAGGTATCTAGATGCCCTATTTGACATTTTTTCAATATTTTTTTCAAAAAATTAGTTTGCGAAAACTATCGAACCGATTTTAATGAAATTTGGTGTGTTGTTTTATTATACTCTAAAGTTTTTTTTACCAAAATTAGAATGCCCTCGGAGCAATTAAAATATTTTTAAAAAATTACCCAAAAAACTTGATAGACATAAATAAGGATATTTCTAACATTATAAAATGGTCAAAAGATCACAGTTTGAGCATTAATTCAAAGAAAACATCAGTAGACCAGTGCTTAAGCCTTCAAAAATGGTAAAAAGTGAAAATAAATTATAGTAGGATGAAACCCATTGGAAAAGAAAGAGAATATAACAGAAATGAAAAGAAAAATAATTTACGGGCGATCTGAGGTCGGGAAGGGGAAGGGGGTGAGTTTTTAAGGGTAAAAATGGTTAAGTTGTAGGTAATAAAAAGATCTACAACTTTTGTATTTACACTTTTTTCACATAACCTCAAAATTTATGTGAAAAATTCAAATAACCAAGTTTTTGGTTTTTTATTTTTATCTTTTACAAAAAAATTTTTTTTTCACGAAATTTGGTGAAAACTTACCTATTTATGTCCCAAACACGCTGTAATTTTTTTGATTTGAAATATTTATTTTTTCACCTTATTTTTACTTAATATCGAAAAAGCACCCTAATTTTCAATCGAAAATTCTCACGTCAAAATATCTGCTTTTTTAAAAACGTCGGTGGGCTTTTTCTTCGTTGAAATCTCTACTTTCTGATGGTGTAAAAAAATATATACATTACTATGGTAAGTTTTCTCAGGAAATGCAAAGAAACGAACTAGAATCCGAAAATTTTTTTCTAATCATTATGTACAATTTTGAGCTATTTATTAAAATTTACACTTTAATTACTCGAAAAACGTAAGATTCCATGTTACATTGATAAACAAAAAAATTACAATTCGAAATATACTATTATAATTAACAACCAAGTTAATAAAGTTAATATTTAATAAGACATCTACATATTTTGAGAAAGTTGTAGAATCTTCTTTAAATTATATACGTAGATACCTATTTATTGCTATTTTAAGATAACTTATATACCTGAGTGACCTACGGAAAATTTTAGCCCATCAAAAGGTATTTCATAGAGAATTGGGGGGATGATAGGAGGGTCTGGGAATGTTTTTAAAAATATTATAATGAATAACAATCATTATAAAGTATATAAATTCAATAGTACGATTTATATGTATATTTAAATATTATGAGATTTTCTATGACATAAATGTAACTAGAATTTAATAAATCAACTTTTATAACTGAAAAAAATAGCAGCAGTCACATTTTTTAGATAAAATCCCCTTTAAATTCTCTCTTTAATATTTAGAACAATTATTTTCGCATGTTTTATGGATTTGTAATTTTTTTGTTAATCNGAGCAAAAATTAAATTCGGTGACGAAGAAATTCTACCTGTAAATAATACTAGAAACTTAGGATTAGTCATGGATTCAACTTTAAAATTCAAGCTTAATATAAATAATTGTATACGTAGTGCTGATGGAAACTTAAAATTGTTTTATAACAGATACTACATCAATAAAAAAGTCAAAACTCTGCTGTGTCAATTAGTTCTGTCAAAATTTAACTTCAGTGATGCAATTTATGGTCCCTGTTTTGATTTCAATGATGCTCGAAGAATTCAAACAGTTCAAAACGCATGTCCTGATTTATATTCGGAATCAGAAAAAGACAATCAATTTCTTATAAACTCGAGGAGCTTGGATGGCTTAACATGTCTGACGGGCGTCTGCTGCATACTGCGAGCTTATTTCATAAAATAGTTAGTAATAAAGCTGCCACATATTTATATGTATAATAAAATCTCTTTCAGAAGTGACGTCCATAATATTAATATAAGATTTAAAGGGCGGCTGACTCCCCCTGCTCGTCGTACAGAATTATTTAAATGTTCTTTCACTTACCAGATAACTAAAATATACAATAACCTTCCTAAGTCTATAAAATCTAAACCAGTGTCTGCTTTCAAACGAACTCTAAAAAAGAAATTATTAGATAATACTAAATAAAACTTTTTCGTTATTGATACCTTAGTACTCTCCTCTTCTTTCTAAAACGTAGTTATAGGTACTTTTTTTTGTATTTTCTTTAGAATTAGTAACATTCTCTTATGTAAATATGATATTCGCTATGCCATAAAATTATAAACTGTTAGACAGTTATGTTTGCTTAAGATTAATGATCTTCGGCATTTTCTTTTCGATTCATTTTTAAATTAATTTTATATTATAATTTTGTTAATATGTTATATCTTATATAATAGTAGAGTGCCCGGCAGCGTTAAATATGCTTAAAAATCAATTCTGTGGGCGTCTCGGGGTTACAAGCTGAATTATGCATAAAATTGAAGCTTATATGTTACTGAATCAGAATCCGAAGGTAATAAAAAAATAACGCGGGCAGAAGGGCAGTAAAATCAAAAAACGAGTTATCACCACGGGCGGATAATACAGTATATTGGCTATAATTCTATATAAAAATCAACTTATATTTTGTACAGCATATATTTTTTATCAATTTTTGAAAGTTGCTCTTAACGTTGAGTCTTATGGCAGAATAAATTTTTAAACTTGAATATCTCGGTTCGAACACGTCGAAAATCTTACTGAAATTCAACATTTTTTTAGTTCCCACGCTATTTACCGGAAAACGGAGGCTTTAATTGAAAAATTTTACTCTTGCAAAAAGTTTCTGTCGCCAATTTGAAAGACAACAGCGTATAATTCAGAATTTTTGCTTCAATAATAAACAAGATATGAATAAAAATACAGAACAAGTCATTTTTCGAACGGCCGGCGGACGGCTGGCTGCTTCGCGTCCCCACTCCGCCACAATCGCATCTGTCTCACAAATCTCCATAGCTCCATTTCGTATTACTTCGATACGTACGAGTCAGTAGTGATAACCCTACTACATACAAATTTTAAAAATATATGCAAAATTAGTAAAATAAATCATGTCTCACTTCTACAGATTTAAAATACGATTTTTATAATAATTGGATTTAAAAGTTAATAAATATATACAGGGTGTCCCGTTCATATTCAACTTGTGTGCAAGTTTCCCATGAGGAACTTGCACACAAGTTTTTTTTGAAACATGAACCGGAGACCCTGTATATAAAATATATATAAAAGGTCCTTTTTATTAACAATTAGGAACATGACTAACAGATAAAAAACACTATTTATCCAAGTCATGTTTCTCATCGAACTTTTTGCAAGATTTTGAGCCATGTTTTTACAGGACCAAATTCAACCCATATTACTTTTCTTGTAAATGCAAACCTTGCTTCCACAATCTAAGAAAATTTAAATTTTATTACTAGAAAAATGGTTGCTACTTATTATCTTACCTTTTTGCATCCACATGAAGAACGTTCAAATGTCTTTATCAATTTTTCTATCCACAGTCGGCAATACAAGGCAATTTTGGACAGAGTTCTAAACAATTGACTGATAATAGGTCCTCAAATAATGGAATCGCAAAGTATCTTCAGTCGGAAGCAGATTTGCAATTGTTGAAGACGATGCTAACAAACCTCTTAAAGTGTTTACTGACGTAATATTATGATTTTTTTAAATAGTTTTATAATAATGATCTGAATATCCTCGAACATATTTTCTGAAAAATCATCCGTACCAATTCCATTTAAGTGTTTGTGGTTTACCCAATTGTTTTCCCAATTTTTTTATTCTATTCTGTCATTAGGCAATTCACATGATATTTTACCTCCATTGCTATTAAATCATTGGAGCCAATTCTTTCTAAAACTTCTGAAGAGATCGATGCAATGTTTTTACTTTAGTTTCTATATTTTTAGACATAACTTGGGATAATCTCTTCCCAAGAGATAGCTTCTAGCAAAATACACATTTATTTATGTGAAAGCCACCCTTACGAAGTGATCTACCAGGAAGTGGTGGAGGTTCAATACCAGCTACTCTGTACTCTTTCAGTCTTTCCACTCTTTTCCTTAAACTTTCAATATTTTGTTTGTTCGTATAGGCAATATAACACATTTTATGCCAAACAATTTTACCAGTTTTACCATCAACAATCACACTTTTTGTATGTCCTCATCTACCTCTTTGTTTATATCATTCCGAATCTTATTGTTAGTGGAATTCATAAAAGTAAAGGAAGTTTTATCCGTTGATTCGATTATAATACCTCCAATTTTTTTACATATTATACATTTTTTGCGTTTTTGCGTTTTGAATTTTACATGTAAGCCGATTTCGTTCTCAGAACTAGTACTATCAGTTGTAGAACGTTTCATTTCGTGCAGTGCTAAATTCTGATAAAAAATCTATAATTGGAATGTGGAATTCCCTACAGTTAACTAAAGTAAAATTTCTCACTTAGATTATCCTTGTTTACAACACTAAACGCCAACCACTATGTGTTTCAGTTTTTTAAAAAGTGAAAAATTAAGATTTTAACCAGGTTAGGTACTGAACTCGTTATATGCATTCACCCACAAAACTATATTTTTGAAAATATAAACACATACGAAAACCGCTACAAAAAGGCACACCTAAAATTCCGGTAAGATAAGAAATATTAAAATAAAATGTAATACAGTACGAGATGGAGCTATGAAGATTTGTGAGACAGATTCAACTTTGGCGAAGTGGGGAAGCGAAGTAGCCAGCCGTCCGCCGGCCGGTCGAAAATGATTTATTTTGTATTTTTATTCATATATTGTTTATTATTGAAGCAAAAATTTTGAATTAAACGCTGTTGTCTTTCAAATTGATGAAATAAACTTTTTGCAAGAGTAAAATTTTTCGATTAAGGCCTCCGTTTTCCGGTAAATGGCGTGGGAACTAAAAAAATGTTGAATTTAAGTAAGATTTTCGACGTGTTCGAAGCGAGATATTCCAGTTTAAAAATTTATTCTGCCATAAGACTCAACGTTAAGAGCAACTTTCAAAAATTAATAAAAAATATATGCTGTACAAAATATAAGTTGATTTTTATATAGAATTATAGCCAATGTGCTGTATTATCCGCCCGTGGTCATAACTCGTTTTTTGATTTTACTGCCCTTCTGCCCGCGTTATTTTTTTATTACCTTCGGTTTCCGATTCAGTAAGATATAAGCTTCAATTTTATATATAATTCAGCTTGTAACCCCGCGACGCCCACAGAAGTGAAAATAAATTAAAGCGGGCACTCTACTATAATGTGAATCAGAAAAGAAATAAAGTTCCTTTATTTTTATTATTATTTTTTGATTGAATTCTAAAACTTTTTTCCTCTTCAATATTCTTCCAAACTGCATAGGTTCCAAGATATAAGTAAAAAACTGAGATAGAATAAGTATTTTTTAAATATTTTAAACATTTTTGCAATTTTGAAAATGTTCCGGACCTAGCCCAGATCTAGGGATCTGCACTTTTATTATGCGAGTTGTACTGAACGTATTCCAGCAAAAATTATCTTGCCCCCTCTGACATCCAAAAAGTGGGATATTTCGACAGATCCACCTTGGTCTATATCGGAAAAATGTAATGGAGCAAAAAATTTTCATGAATATTTCAGTGATTTTCGAAAGGCCGTATCTGAGTGAAAAATTGTCGTACCGAGATAATAAAAAAAGCGTTTTGAAGCTTTAAGTCTCTAGTTTCGGGATCTCAAGACAAAAAAAAAAATTGAGCTACGGTTATCGAGCAAACAAAAGAAATACGTCGAGTAAAAAAATTTACAACTTTTTTTTTCGATAAGCCTTTTGAAAATCACCTTCAATTTTTCCAGTAGTGTAATACAGTTCGAAAAATAAATTTTAGCATTCACGCCCGCCAATTAGCCTTTTTTATCCGCGTAAGGATCGTACAAGTAGCGAGATGTTAAAAACTGTTCCAATCTGTATTGAAAAAAAAGTACTTACTGCTTTCCACCTCTGCGTTGATGTTGATCGTCTTCAGCCTTAATTCCTCGTTCTCGTAAAGCATGCCCCTCGAGGATTTCCTATCTAATCTAAAAAAACAAGACGGCAAACGTAAAACTGGAATACGGACTGACGTACAGGCGGAATGCTGCGCACGCAGAATTCCGGTGTCGGTTTTAGGAAGGAAAAAAAAAACGAAAAAAGAAAAATGTCATGCCGTCAGTAGCCTAAAACATTAGCTGTGGTTAGGCTCATTTGTGGGCTTTTTGTGTTAGATTGTTAGCAGCTCTGAGCGGCGGAAACGTTTGAATCGGTGTAAAGTATACGAAGGAATTGAAATGATAGAAATTTGATATGTCTAAAATAAATTGTGTTTCTTTGGAAAATTTATGTAGATTGTGTTCAAGGATAATTAGTCCTCTGAAAAAAATGCCCGGAAACGCTCCGTTTTCGAAATGCAGGTGTTGATATTCGATTTTTTTTTTAAATTAAATTTTATGCCCTACTTTGAATTCCCAACCGGATATTATTTTATTATAGTGGATTCTGCTATCAATCTCGTTTATACAGGGTGTTTTTAAATAAGTGCGAAATATTTTAGGGGGTGGTTGCTGAAGTTATTTTGTGAATAAAAGTTCATTTAAACGTAGGTCGAAATATGCTTCTTTTCCGAGAGACAGTGTTTAAATTTTAATTTTTTATTTATTTGTATTAATTGTGTCAAAGAATTTTAAAGGTATTGACTCGAAATTTGATGGTTATATTTTTTAACAAAATAACTTCAGCAACAACCCCCTAAAGTATTTCGCACTTATTTACAAACACCCTGTATAGTCGATTCAACAGATGCTTACAAAAATGCTTACAACGGAGAAGAAAAGAAGATTTGATATGTTCGTTAATGACGTCACGATGAACATTTTATTTTTTTTAGGACTTTAATGAAGCCAAAATGAAATAAAAAAATAAGGCTCTCATAATTTTGAACCCTTTTTATTATGAAAAGCACGAAATAAATTTTGTAAAATTTTTCCCTAGAAATGTCTTGTGAGGTATTGTAGAAAAAGTGATTTTTTTCTTATTTTGACCGCCCGAATTCAAATTTGGCCAAATAAGAGGTTTATTTAGCAATTTTTTATTATATTCGTTTTCAGAATATATACAGGGTGATCCATTAACGGTACGGAGCGGTTGTATATAGGAAACTAGACGTGCTACTATTATGGGGTAAAAAATCTACAAGCAAGGAGGCCCGCTAGAGGGCGCAACTTCTGTAGTATTATGAAAAATTGTCGTATTTTCGAAATTTCGCGCTTATACAGGGTGTTTCAGAAAGACCTCCCGTAAATTCAGGTGGTGAAAAATAAGAATATTTTTTCTTATGAACTATATGTCTATCTCCTCTTGTTTTCGAGATACAGAGCGACAAAATAAAATTTTTTAAATAGAATTTTTACGAAAATTTCCAAACGGTGCGAAATATTTTTATGAAATTTGGTATTCCGGGGTTTTTCAGGTCGCCAAATACGCTGGTCTGATTAGTTTTTGGATATTTCATAGAGGGCGCTAGTTGCGCTACTTTCCTATTACATTTTAGGTTCTATTTTTTTTAAGGTTAGGTTTTTTACCATTCGGGTTCCAATTTCTAATGTACAAATTTATTTTGTAAAAATAATGTACTAGAACTTCTTAATGTGAAGGGTTTTCGAGAAAAAAGGCTTTTTTAATTGAACTCTTATAATATTACGACGAAGAAAATAAGTGACTTTTTTCAAAGTAGGCTTTTGTCAGAACTTATTAATGGATGTCTCATAAACAACGCATACATTCTCAGTAATATTTTAACCTGTAATTAACTTTATATCAAAATTTTAGTGATTGTTAGTGACTGTAGTTAGTAATGACTAATTACTCAGATATTTGGAATTTATAAAAACTGAAACATTGCAATTATAAAAAAAAAATAAAAAATCAGAATATAGCAAGTACTTTTTTATAGTTTTACAATTTAACTTTAGCTTGGACTATGCCATTGTTATTTAGAGAACTATGTAAATAAAGGAGGATGTTCTAGCACAACTTCACTATTTTAGCAATAATTTGAAAACGAAAAAAGATATCGACATGCGCTTTATGATAGATAGATAGATAGTTTATTTGGCTATTTTACACAAGTACATGGTTTATAGCAAGTCAGTACAAGAAAACAAAAGGCATAGTTTGTATACACATAGCACACAGCAGTCAACATTGAAGTGAATTAGAACACTAATAAATATAAATATAAAAGCACACAAAATACCAAAGATAGTCGAACTTTGCAGGACCCACATAATCTAGAAAATATTAGATTGATAATACTCATCTACAGAGTAAAAACAGTGAGATAAAAGACTTTTTTTAATATTAATCTTGAAGCATCCCTCATTCATATCCGTTATATGGCAGGGTAGTTTATTATATAATTTAATGTTTAGAATATTTCTTTGCGATTTGACCAATCTGGATCGAGGTACAAGTAGATCACCCGCCACAGCAACACGTGTATTATAATTATGGCGGTCAGACACCCGGGGAACGATATTCCTGCGAGCATGTATTTCCATTAAAGTTTGTAATATAAATATACAGGGCAGTGGTAATATACGAAATTTCTTGAACAGTGGTTTGCAATGTTCACTGCTACCCACATTTGCTAAGATTCGCACTGCACGTTTCTGGAGACAAAAGATTTTTTTAGAATCAACTGCATTGCCCCACAAGACAGTGGCGTAGCTGATCAGGGAATGAAACAAACCGAAGTATACATTTATTAAAATATGAGGACTCAATAATTTACGAAACTGTCTTAAGAGAAACAACACTTTAGACAGTCTCGTACTAAGGTCGGTTATGTGTTGATGCCAACTTAGAGTGTAATCTAGAGCAATTCCTAGCAGTCTGCAATGGCTGCCGTTCACAAAACGCCTATTGCTGGAGACCGTCAAATATTGGGTTTTAGCTTTATTGCATTTGCATTTATTGCATTTATTGCATTTATTTTCCTTAATAAATGGTGTATCAAGCCATGAAACCTAAATCGTTACATTTAATTTTTTAGTAAACGAAGACAATTACAAAACTTTTCTAATTAGTCTACCGTTGCGCAGGAAAATAAATTTTTATTCCTATATCATAAAAATATATTTTATTAATAGTCTTCTAAAAAGAGCCGTCGTTTTTTGAAATCGATTAAGGCATTCAGAAGTTATGACAATTTAAAAATCTCAAGATGGCGTCCTTCATACTGGCGTTGCTATGGCAATAACAAAAAAGAGTTGAAATGAAACTTGTGAAGCGTTTAACAGTGTATCTAAACAGTGTATTTTCAACTTGGGTTATAAAGCGAAATTTCGAAAAGTCGACAATTTTCTGTAACACTATAGCAGTTGCGCCCTCTAGCGGTGAAGTTACAAACTTGAAAATATTTTAAATTGATATCTTTTGGTCGTAGTATTTGTTAATAGATATTTCGTAGCACGTCTAATTTCGCTCTGTACCGTTAATAGATCACCTTGTAGTAGATTCTAGCTATTAACCTCGTTTATATAGTCGGTTTAATAGATGCTTACAAAAATGCCAAAAAAGTAAAGAAGATTTGAAATTTTCCTCCAGGTTTTGATTCAGCATCCCAAAAAACGTATGAGTATGGTGGTCTAGTCTATCACATACTGATTTTTTTTCCCGCAGGGCCGTTATTATTTCCGAAAAGTGTTTTTTGTTTCGCATAGAAAAGAGTGTATCATGATTTAGATTCCGTGTAATTTAGCTAGAACCTCTTAAGTTTTCAGACGAGGTGTGGGGTTAGTGTTAGTGGAAAAAAACCAAAATAAAAAAATAAGAAAAAAACAAATCTCGATTAGTCTCTCAAAGCAAAATCTCAGTTTACCTCGCCGGCTTGGCACCCCTGCAATTGAAATTAAAACACAGAGTTAGACGTGCTCCATCTACTGATTGGGGAGGTCGTGATGTTTGCGCATACGTGTGGCAGGAGGAGAACCCTTTTCGCCTCCGAAGAAGTCGACGAAGTCGGGAACTCCCCCTGCAGGCGGTGCACTTGGTGGGGGATGATGCTGTTAGTGTGTACGTGGCGGTGGGTGTGAAGGGAATGGGGGATGAGTGTGGTTATTTTTTTATTGACATTGCTGTTAAGATGATATCGAACTATATTTTACAACTGAAATGACACAGATTTTTAAGTCTCCTGTCTGTCTTGCTTTTATGCTTGGAAAAAGTAAGGTGTCAGGAGAACAAAACACCCTGTACAGAGGTGTTCGCGTAACATTCTATTCTTCGTGTCCTTTTTTCCTTTCTATTTGGGGGAAAATCGTAAGAATAAAAGTTGCCGGAAATTTTCTTGTGATCTCAAAAGTAATATTTGAATACTACAGGGTGTTTGGTAAGTCGATGCATTCCTTGCAAGAGATTATAGTACAAGTGATTTGTGATAAATTTACTAAATATACCATTTTCCGAAAACGCTTAGTTTCCGATCTACAGGGTGTTAAAGTTTTAATAAAAAAATGCAAATTTAAAAGTATTGCGGAAACCGCTCAGAATATTTTACTGAAATTTTACAGGCTTTGACAGTTAACAACAATACACGTTTCACGATAAAAATATTGTTTTCAGTTTCACCAGTGGCGGGCGCACAGGCACGTCTCTGCATATTTTTAAAGAAAAAAATGATACGCCAGTGACTTTTCTTAAAATAAAAATTATTTTTGAATTCCTTGTTCAATTTGGAAGAGAAATGGTATCTCGACTGTTTTTCTTATGAAGTACCGTCTTCGAGTAAATAAATTAAAATCGATTTATGGCATGGCGTAATCCGGTTTCAATAATTTGAAAAATAGCAGAAATTATGCACTTATAAACAATAACAAAAACAAGTGCACAGCCAATCTGCTAATTTCTGTTTAAGATAGTGAATAGTGAATCTAAAAACTGATAAATTTTTTTAGACTTACGTTGTTAACTGTGAGGAGTAATATTTTTTTTTTTTAATAAAATTCATACCAAAAAAAAACTGAGTGCATAATTTCTGCTATTTTTAAAATTATTGAAACCGGATTACGCACTGCAACAAATCGATTTTAATTTATTTACTCGAAGACGGTGCTTCATAAGAAAAACAGTCGAGATACCTTTTTTCTTCTAAATTGAACAAGAAATTCAAAAATAATTTTTATTTTAAGGAAAAATCAGTGGCGTATCATTTTTTTTCTTTAAAAATATCCAGAGACATGCCTGTGCGCACGCCACTGGTGAAACTGAAAACAATATTTTTATCGTAAAACGTGTTAACTGTCAAAGCCTGTAAAATTTAATTAAAATATTCTGAGCGGTTTTCGCAATATTTTCAAATTTGCATTGTTTTATTAAAACTTTAACACCCTGTAGATCGGAAACTAAGCGTTTTCAGAATATGGTATATTTAAGAAATATATCACAAATCAGTTGTATTATAATCTCCTGCAAGGAATGCATCGACTTACCAAACACCCTGTATATTACGGAGATATAACCCTATGTTTTTTTGTCATTTTTTACAATGGCATGTAATATATTTGCTTTGATAGTTTGCAGAATATTTTGGTTTATGAGAATTTACAGTTTAAAAAACATATATCTTTCTATATTTTACGTTATTTTTTGTAATTAAAACAAATTCATAAGAAAAACCTGTTTAAAAAATGTTCGTAGTATTGAACACAATTATGAAAATATTAAACGTGACAAATATACAGTATGTCCCATTTAAGAAGTTTGATTTACATTATCTGCCAAATGCAATATTCATTTGTTTTTTTATATATTTATATTAGGGTGGCGCAAAAAAAACGAATATTTCTTAGAGGTCGAATTGAATTTTTTTAATTTTTTTTCTAGGTTGAAAAAAATCTCGATTCTGAAAATTTCAAATCGATATTTTAATTTCTAAAGATCAGTCATAATTATTTTAACTTTCAAAGTAGTGTACCTATGTTTTCGAGCGACCTCTAAAAATAAATATCAACGAGCTAATAATTTTTTTTATTGAATTTGGCGAACAGAAGAATAGAAATAAGTTAAAAAATTTAAAAATTATAAACATTTGATACTCAAGGTGCGGTAGTAAATTTTGCCTGGAAAAGTGTCTCGTGATTTATTTCTATTATTTTGTTCATCAAATTCATTAAAAAAAATATATTAATTCGTTCATATTTATTTTTAGAGGTCGCTCGAAAACATTTTAAGTAAGTACACTACTTTTAAAGTTAAAATAATTACGAGTGACCTTTAGAAATTAAAATATCGATTTGAAATGTTCATTTTGGAAATTTTTTTAAAATCTTGAGTAACCTATAAAAAAATTTTTTTGAGCCAAATTTTTGAGGGGGCTCTTAAAACATGATAAACTAACATATTTTCACAAGAGACACGAAGAAAAATATTAAGTTTTTTTTGGGCCACCCTAATTTATATAAAATCTGAAGAAAATTTCTTAAAACTCTTGTCTTCGACATTTTTTTCTAGATAGAAGGTCGAAAAAAATAGAATGCTATACAGGTGGATATTCCTATACATTATTATTACATATTTCGTTGAGAAGATAAATACAGTGGCGCGCGTCTTTTTTTCAAATAAGTATGTTTATTTTGAATAAGCCTTCTATACAGGGTGATTGACTTGAGGATAACACCGTAGAAATCTATGAAACGGTAACAGGACAGTTATTAGACAGAATTACAAAAAAAATCTTCGCATCCATAAGGGCTCTGTTTTTTAATTTTCTAGATTTTGGTTTTTGTTTCATGGATATAGTTCAATTTTTCAGCCTTCTCTGTTTTCTTCAGATGTGTATCAGTTTATTGGAAGCTTTAAAATTTCTCTCATATTTGAACTAAGACAAACAGTGTATCTCACGATTCTGTCCTGAGGGGAAACTTATTTAATTGTAAATTTATGAGAAAATTCCGTTTTGTATAAAAATTGTTCTTGGTTTCAAACTCTTCACTACTTTAAAATTTTTCAGAAAATTGTAGATACATAAAATCAAGAAATTAGCGGCATTTTTAAAAGTTTGAAGACCAGAAGGAATTTTTATACAGAATAGAATTTTCTCATAAAATTAATGTGAAAGTTTTTCCTCTGTAGAATGCAATCACGAGACACACTGTCGATTTTGTACAGTAGATCTTGGCCAGTGTAATTCCTGAAAATTTAAAGTTTCCAATATTTACACATAATAACAAAATTAAAAATGAAATAACTGGAGTCTAGTGATCTATGAAAGTTACAAAATATCGCTTTTCGTACCTCCTCAGTAAATCACCCTGTGTAGGAGTCGTATATAATTCGGTAAAGGATGTGGTTAAGTGGTTCTTCCTCTCCGTAAAATGTGTTCCTCGTCAGGCCTATCCAAAATTACATTTTCGTATAAATAAACAGCGGGGAGGTCTATTAGATGTTTGTTTTTCTTTTGGCGAATTAACTAATCGGAGACAATAAAATCGGCTGTTTGACGTCATAGCTGTGGTTTGTTTGGATTCCGTTAAATTTGGAGACAATTTCGTAACAAGTGGAACCGGCTTTGTTGCCTTTGCATTGTAAGAAATGAAATCTCACGTTATACAGGGTTAATCTTGAATGTGTGCATATATTTTAACTGTAGGACTATAAAGTCCGCGATGTAAATTTAAAGATTTTTTAAATTCCATGGTTTGTAATCAAAATCATGCGCGCTGCTGGCTGTCGTATTAGTCTGGAGTTCGGGGGGCGCGGCTCTTAACAGGGTCGTAGTCAGCTCACTTTCCCAGATGCCATTGCAGTGTATTATTAGACTTTGTTTCAGTTATTCCAAGCTTTTATTGTGTCCGTATGCGTAAACTATTATAAATAATCGTCAAGTGTGTTTAAATATTTATACAGGGTGTCGCAATGTGTGTGGGGTGTCTCAAACTCGATAGTATCGGCCTACTGTGAGGATACAAAAATTTAAATAAAATTTGTGACACGTGGTGTAAAATGGGATGAGGTAAGCTCCATTTTCAATAGAAAGTATTATCTTTGGGATTTGACAGAAACGACTAAAGACGTCATCAATTATATTTTTTCCGGAAACATACACAAATTTTTTCCCGGTAAAAAACCCCCCTTTTTTCTAATAAACTTGTATTAGAGAATTTTTTCTATATTACTTTACTACTTACCGTTTAAAAGTTATAAGCATGTTCTACCCAATAAACAGTAACGCTGCCTAAAATATATCCACACATTTAAGATTCATCCTTACATCAAAACAATGAGCTTTGATCTGTCTTCTGGTTGTGTTTCGTAGAGTGAAAATAACGATGTGCTATTTTTTATCACTTTCAATTACCGAACGCAACGCTGTTTAAGTCCATTCTATTTGGAAAAAAAAAATAGGTTTTACGAGTTCCTATCTGTAATCCCTTACCTCCTGTTGGGCTTAACGTTGCAGTCCTTCCGCCTGGTCCTCAGCATGTTCATCGGTCGCGACATCTTTGGTCCCTCAAAACGACGATCCGGATCTAGAAAGAGAACTGCTACGCCTACGCGGCTCGGTCGAATTTTCCGGTGGAACTGAGTCTATTTCTGAAGCTGGTCTTCCCGCGGGCCACTCCTATCCGTCAACACGGGACGGCGGCGGTTCCAGAGGGCTCTCCTCCACGTACACGTGAACATCTTCGCCGTGGCGGCCGATGTGCGGCGTGACCCTTCTCCGGTTAGGTATCTGAAATCAGAGTCATCTGTTTGAGAAGGAGCAAACAGCGGTTTCAGTTCGGTGTCGGCGCTTTGATCTTATTCAACCGTTCTAGGTGACCTTGGATGAATGGGAGCGCTGACCATGGCCGTAATAAGAATTTTTTACTCGTGCAGGAAAGAGTGTTATTGTTGGACAAAAAAGATCATGTGAATATAGGTCGTAAATCTCTTGCCAACCCAGATACAGGGTGTCGCACTTATTTTTTTAACTTTTTTCGTGGTATCAACAATGCAGCAAATTTCTAACGAAGCTAAATTTGGCATTTCTTACGGCGACATAGTGTCCTTAATAAAATACCTACAAATGATTATTCTTACAACCACCAGTGGCGTGGTAGTGCCCTTGTTTTAAATAGAAATTTTACACCTACGAGTTTTCTGGAAATTTCGTACCATTTTTGACGCCGCTAATCAGTTTTAAACGAACAGTTCTTCTTGTGAAACTGTCATAAAATAAATGGATTCTGCACAAAACTTTAATTGAACTGAAAAGATAAATTTGTTATTGCGTTATTTATTTGAAAACAGGTATTTAAAAACAAACTGTAATTAGAGAAAAATTGGAAGTCATTCTGTTCGACACATGCGAAGTCTGTTCAGAAAATAACCGAACTTTATTTTTTTAAACTTTATTATTAATTTTATACTTGGCATTGTCTCCTTCAAAGTACTCCCTTTCCCTGTTCATATACTTTTCGCTTCGGTGTTTCCATTTCGCGAAGCAGTCTTGGATAGCTTCATTTAAAATGACCTTGAACCGGATTTGAAACGTTCAAGTCAAAAATTTCGCGCGCGACCAAGAGCGACGTCCATGCTCATGCGCGGGCCCGGCGCTCCTTCTCCCGCGTTCAAGCCGTTCATTAACGTTAACTTTTACTGCTGCTAGCGCGTTTAGTACATGAACTAACAATGTAAAGCTTTTTGGATCCGATACATCCAATAGTTAAATTAACAATTTAACATTATAAAGAAAAGTTATCTTGGGAATAAAGAGGCGTAGGCGATTTCTCCCTTTTTTTTAAACTACCTTCTGTAAAAATAAGCGCTATTTAATTTAAAAAGAGCGAATTCCCGAGTGGCTTTTGCCTGACCTTAACACAATTTTTTTATAACGCTGTTTTGCACGTCTTACTTTGTTAGTTGTAAAGGGCAACTTAATATCAACGTTTTGAAAATTTTCTTTTTCGATACGTTTCTTTGGATCAATTAAAACCTATATCTAGGATATTAATTTCTAAAATTAATATTTAGTAAGTAAACAATTAGTTACAAACAAAAATACAAACGAAATTTTGGTCATTGAATTGTCCGTCTTTTCTATTTTCGTCAACATCCATCGTTTTTTGCAATAATAATGAGCAATTTTCGAAAACTGATATTTCCGCTTCCCCAACAAATTGGTGAAATATACTTTAGATACCTTAAATTGTAGGGAATTTAATTGACTACAACATAAAATGAATAATTTCCGACAGGTCGTCTAGATTTTCGCGGGCAGTAAAAAAAGTGAAAAAAACGCTATGCTGTCAGTACCTACTAGTATATTCAAAAATGGAGAAATAAGTTAAATTACTAAATTTCAGCAAGTGATTTGTCAAAGACGAACAATGATATCGAAATAAATCCAACCGCGTTTTAAAGCGTAAGTATAAGTATTTTAAGACCCCATTAATGGTTAAAAAAAAAGGGTACCTATCCATGTAACATAACCTCAAATATGTCAAAAAATCGCGATTTTGGCACTTTTAGGTTAGGATATCTCGAAAACCAGAGCCAATTGAGAAATTTGGACCTCGGAGAGAACATTCATATGAATTAGATTTTGTAGAATTAATACATTTTATATTTAATCCTATATGTATTGATTATAAAATTGCTATTCCAATAGAAACGGTTATTTTTATACCGTATAAGAAATCATAAAAAACACGCGTTTCAGTTTAAACACGCTCTCTAATTGTCGGGTATTAAACATACTGAAGCTTTGGAAGTGGAGCTTTGATTATAAAACAAATATTGTAATTAAAAATAGCAATAGTAATAAAGAAATTTTTGTATAAACAGGGGTGCCAGACGTGAGCTGATCCCATTATCTCTTCCTATGCATAAAGAAATTAATTAATTTCTAAACCCCTTAAAACCGCACTGCACTGGATCCCTTGACAGGCAATGATTTATTACTTTGCATCAAATATGATCCTACTGTATAAAACGACATGTTTCAAATAACCCGAACTGTATATTTTTGAAATTCTTAATTCTTCGAATATACAGCGACAAAAAATCGAGTTTATTTTTGCTAACTTTTAAAAATATAACAAAGAATCGCGAATAAAGGTTTATAAATAAACAACATAAAGTTCAAAGTTATATTTCTGACGAGTGAGCAGCATCCACCGCAACAATCTTTCTACACCTAGTCATAACCACAATGAAAGTTGATAATGGCGTGTCACAGCTCGAGCTGATCCGCTACTTATTCCACTCTGTCCCACATTAGATACAACTAGGACGATGACCTGTGGCGATTTTTTCCTTATCGCTCCGAGTAGAGACACCGGTTCTGACAATACCCGGTGACCCAAAAAAACTATCTTTATTTGAATAAACGAAATAAACGGCATTTGATTCAACCGGGAACGAGACACCTCCAAACACGTAGGAGCAGACCCGGTCGCGAAAAACGCTAGACAAACGGTAAATCCGAAACGTTGACCCCTGTTCCTTTAAGGCAACGTCATCCTTTTGCACGTTTCCAGTTCCTCTTCTCACTTACTCAGCTATTAAAATTATCCAAGGTGACACTGCTGGTTGTTTCCGCTATACGACGAGGGTGAAGCGAATCCTACGCGGGTTTGCTTAAAAAATACATACGTGGCAACGCCGCGTATACGCTGTGACGCCGCCTTATTGTTTTTGGTAAAAATAGCGCCCCACACACGTGCGTATCTCTGTCACGGATCAGCGCGGGTATAAAAAACGAAAACGAAAAGTCAGGTGAAAGCAGTCCTTTGAAGAACGGTTGATAATAGAAATTGAAACTCTGTTTCTTCTAATAAAATACCACGTTGTTTGTAGATAGAATACGTTGGTAGTACAAATTGTACTACCCCACAAAAAATAGTCCAGGGGGTTAAGGTCAGGGGAACGTGGAGGCCAGGGAACAGGACCTCCTCGGCCTATCCATTTTTCTCCTATTCGGGTATGTTGCCGCATGCAGACGACTCGCNTCATAGAGAAATAATGTCGTGTTTTCACAAGTGTCATAACAATGTAACATCGAGTCCATAAATCAAGACGCCACTTCGGGACAGCCAAATTTTGTTTATTAATTCGTTATATTTTATTTGACAAGTGTGTATAATAAAATTTTAACGGCCTTTCAACGAATCAGTGAAAGAAAAGGCCTTAGTTTCGAATTCTGGCCACGTTTGAAGGTGGTACGCCTTTTAAGCCGGGTCTACACTTGTACCCTACACTGTTCATCTGAAAACTACATGGGAATTAAATACGAAATATTTAAATGAAATTGAAATAAAGAATGGAATAATACGTGATATATTTAGTAGATTGTATCGCAAATTTTCCAAATAGAACAACAGCGTAGTAGTTGGCAGCCAGTGACTAATCCAGTGTTGTTTTATTTACAGGATTTGTTATCGACCGACCTGAACAAAGTGAAATCTGAGCCAGATGTGGGATCTTACTCTTTGCCGTCCTTATCATCAACCCTGTCGATGCATAGCCATGGTGAGTCGTTAGTTTGTTTACCTATATGAATTATGGTTCCTGCTAAGAAGTTTCTGAGAAATATACAAATATATCTCTATTACCTAGAAAAATTTATTCCGTATCACCACATCACGAATTTATAATTGAAATAAACCCAGATTTCTATAATTGGAACGAAATAATAATCGTCAAGTGGCAGCAACATAAAACATTGACAGCAATTTGTTATAGACACCAATTGTTTTTCAAAGCTCTCTTCGAATTAGAAAAAAATATGTAGTAGAAACTGGTACAATGACATCTAACCAGAGTTGTGCTAAGTACAAGATATAATCTTTATATTTTGCAAATTAGTTAATTATAACTACAATCAGTTCCTTGGTAATATTGACTGCTTCCAAACGTTTCGCCGTTCTTCACTGTCGGCATCTTCAGAGGTGACTTGGTAAAAGAAAAAATGCTACAATCTCAATTGACTCGTTCTTCCTCGTATAAGGTTCTGCAGTGAAAAGACAAACAGAATAGACGAGTCAAACAATAGACTGTCAAACAATTAGCAAAAATTTTTAGATTTTCTACTCGCATTCAACATACATACATACTTATATTTTTCCATTTAAAGAACATATTTCTCCGATAAACTTTTATTTAAAGAATTTTTCTCTATCTATTTGCATTAAAAAGTTATGATCAGAAATAAGAACAATAATTAGAACGTCAAAGTTACCTTATAGGCCAGGAAAAAGAGCTGGGAAATTACCATTTCGCAACTTTTTGTTTCCGCAAGCTGAATTTATCACAATAGATGCTAAATATTATGTACAATAACATATTAGTTTCCACAGTCATAAAAATGGGGGGAAGATTGTTTACAGGCTGGTTAATTGTATAATTTTTACGTAAATTCACGTTTTTCGCTTATAACTTTTTTCCGTTCATTTCCACGAGAAAACAGTAAAATTCTTTTTTTTTTCGTTTTCAAAAGACCTACAAAACTAGCCCTCGAGCGTCAAAAAATATTGATTAGATCAAAAGTCATAAACAGGAGAAGTTTTATTTATGACTTTTGAATGAAACAATTATAAACTGCGTTATTATTACCAGAACGTTTTGGCATCGCATCCTCTCATTCCTTATCACTGTCTAATAACACACAAAATCTGGAATCGGTAAATTGAATAGTGTGCAAGTTATGGCCTTACAAACAAATTAACTAATTATTATTAGTCTGGGCGA